TTCCTGCTCCTGTACTCCCAAGACAAACAAGCAAGGCTGCTGAAAGGCAAGATTTGTGGATAGAACTATTTCTGTGCAAAAGGCTTTTTCCGATATAAATGCACATCATAAATTCTACCTTTTTATGTTTTTAATATAGCTGTAAATTTAGACTTGTACATGGGTAAGTCAGCTGATCAGCATGAGAATAAGAGAACAAATCCAAACTGCCTTTTTAAGTTAATTGGCGGAATTACTTATATATCCATGTATGGAAAATCAGTGAGGTATGTTAAACCCAGTTATATTCATATTAACTAAGAGCAAAACTCTCTCCGTTAAGTTTTAATTGAATTCAACCAATCCCTGCTAAATTCACACCATTAATCACTGCAATGAAAAATTCATCAAGTGCTCTTGATAAGCACTGAGCCTATTCACCTGTGCAAAATTACTCACTGTTTCCAAGGTGGTTAATAAACATCCTCAGATTTTAGGCCTAGAGTTGATGTCAGCATCAGAAATGCATTTTCACCTATCTAGGGTAAAGATGAACTCCAATCTCAGCCTGGCACCAGAGGATATGGTAGAATGCTCCCACAGCTCCATACAAACCAAATTGTATCCCTTCACACTTGAAACCCATCATGTTAGCTGCATAAATTACTTCTCAAAATGACCGTGATGTTAAGTTCTCCCACTCTGAAAGATGGGGAACTTGAGATATTAAGCACCCAAGAAGAGTTAAACATTAGAGCAGTGACCACAATTCAGAAGTCCTCAGTTCCCAATGTGGTGCTCAGACCAGAGGCCAAATGGAAAGACCTGTGAGTTATGCTGCACAAATCCTACTGTCCATAGTGGACGTGCAAAATGTTTCTTAATGAGGTCCTAGAAGGGCATCCTGCAGTCCACAGAGCTAGGAAGCTAGGATTCCACCATGCAACCCCCAGGAGTCACATTTCAGATCACTTCATACTCACAGTGTCTACAGCATTTATATTAACATTCTTTTTAAACAGCTTTTCCATGGTATCCAAATTGTTCATTTTAGCAGCATAATGAAATTGTCTCTCATCTGGCAACACTGAAAAACATTATGAGAAAAAATTTATTACTAAAAAAACCAACCATAACCAACTTAAAGGATTAATTATACTGTTCTTACCTTCTGTTGTTTTTTCTGATTTCATATGTTATGAGAGTAATTTGGTTCTTATTGTAGAGGTGTTGCAGGATTACATTTTTCTCCTCTAGACACATCTGGCTGATGTTTCTAATTTCAACTTGTAAGTGCAAATACAGGTAGACTTTTCACAGCATGTATTATCATTATTTGCACTGCTCACAGGAAAAAGTGTTTGTTTATGAAGCTCTGGCCATCTAAATGGGTCCCAAAGCTTTTTACTGGAATAGTGGGGAGAAATACAAACCGCAGAATTTATTTCCTATTCTTGGAAAAGTTGTTCTGTTTTAGAAAAGAACACACCACCAAAATACATAAAAAGGTACAGCAGTAACCAAATGGTATGATACAAATGAAAAAAAAACCAAAACAACAACAACAACAAAAAAAACCAAAACACATAACCACAAATCAAACAAAACAACAAACAAACCAGGAGCTTTACAGGGGAGAAAAAAAACCTGTCTACTTGGACTCAAAGTATGGCCACAATGTGAAATTTACAATTACGCTGCAGGTTTCCCCTTATGTCTCAACACAAAACTGAACATCTGTTTGGTCAACTAAAGTAGCTGCAGCATGCAGCCACACATCTAGTTTTCAGTAACTTTGGAAAATGAAATTCCAGGGTCTGATAACTGGTTTGGCTAACTTAGAGTTCAGAATATTTCTCATGGTTCTACCTTCACATTTAATTAATGACTTAGTAGAAATCACTGTAGCAGTCAAATCAGTTGCAAAAATGTTTGTAGATATTTTTAACTTCCTGGCACGTGACACTTAGACTTCTGTCTAGAATAGTTTAGCCTGAAAGCCACTTGTCCAATGATATCACCACGGAGAACAGCACTCCTTGCTGAACTAGAAACTGCAGCAATTATCTGTTCCTTAGGGGAAGGAAGTTCATCCTACTGCATTACATTTAAGTTCATCAATGCCTAATAAGAATACAGTTTGAGGCTGTATGACTGCAGAGCATGCTAAGGAAAATGAGTAAGGCATTCACTTAACTGCATTTTACATGTTAGACACTAGTAGAATTTCAGTGGGAATAATCACAGTTGTACTGTACAAAATGAACTAGAAATAAAACTGGACACTTGCAAAGCTGTTTCCAGTTTTCCTATTATAGTACTGAAGCACCTCAAACAACAGAAGAACCCTCCCAGAACTCTGGGGAAATCACAGGATATTACCTGCTTGATTTACAACAATTGCCAAACACACAAAGCACCAAAAAAATGCAGCCCTGGCATCTGTGAAAAGGAGTATGGCTGAGAGAAAAAATATCATCATGAACAGGCATCTTTGCAGAATAAATGCCTCACTCACAGTTTTCATGGTTTACATCCTAGACAAGTATGCAGCAGAGTTTTCTGCTACCTTAGTGTTAAACACGAGTAAACCAATGAGGTGGAGGATATCTTGCTCAAGAAAACTTGTAGCAAACATGGAAACAAAAAGTAGGCACCAATTAGCTGCAACTACTTAAAATTAATTCCCATTCATTCCTACTGACTGCTAGTGAGCATTCCCACATGGATCTTACATGAGGATGCAAAGGTTAAGTGCTGTTGTATCTCAGGACATTCAGGAATAATCTCCATAGTTTACTCACACTACCTTCAAGAAACAAGAAAAAATGCTTCTTTACTGTATCTGCATCAACAAAGTTTTATGGTAATTCTGACAAGGAATTAATGGCTGATCTTTTCTTTCCTGTCCAGAAGTCATGAACGGGCCAGGTACTGTTAAAAAGAAGACCTTTTGCTCTGGGCGTGATCTTTCTTAATAATTTCTCTCATAATACCTCTTAATTAATGAATTGAGAACAGTGGCAATGCACACACAGCACAGCACTGACTTGCTGCACAATGTTTTACTGCTTTTGCAAAATGACTTTTTCATGCATGAAGTTTCAGGAGTTTCATAGAGCTGTCAGACTACAGATTTATGGACACTTTCTAGCCAAGCAGGAGTCTCTAGGATTTGGCACTCCTTGCATTATTAGCCATCACTCTATCTCCAAGTAACAGCAGCAATAAATTATCTATTTGTGGCTGTCAGTCTATCTGGGGAGTTGTTTTCTTTGGCTTTATAAAAAATATCTGGATTATTGCCCAATGGGTTATATCACAATTATTCAATTATATTTACATTGTAACTATAAAATTGTTATATTCAACTTTTATTTTGAACCACCTACAAGTAGCAACATTACCAGTTTATTTCCTTTGTAGAAAGCCCTGTGGTATATTGGACATGCCAACATTTCTCCTCTCTTGCAAAGGCAAGAAGGTAAAAAGACAAGAGAAATATAAATTGCTTTGTTGACCTGAAAACAGAAAGTCCTCCTCAACAGAAACTCAAACTTTGAGGTTCCTTCAGTTTTTCTTTTTGCATATTTACATCTTATTTTAGAGGCCTCAATCTGGTTTTAAGTGATACCACAAATAAGGGTAACTTCCAATGAAGTTTAAAAGGCCACCAGAGTTTCAGTACTTCACAGACTACGGAAATATTTCCACAAATATTCCCCTCGTTTTAAATTTCCTGTTGTGGTATCCACAAGATTAAACCTGTCATTGTCCCAAAATGCACATGGAAAATACACTGGAATTTGAATTGGCTGAAGACTTCCAAGAAGGTAAAATACAAAAATAATAACAGAATTAAAAAAAGGACAGGATGGCTTTTGTTGGAAGGGACCTTAAAGATCATTGAGTTCCAACCCCCTGTATGGGCAGGGACACCTCCCACTAAGTAAGGCTGCTCAGAGCCCCATCCAACCTGGCCTTGAACACTTCCAGAAATGAGGGCATAATAAGAGTATTCAGATTCAAATTGCAACAAAGAATATTTTTAATCTATTGTTTCTAAAAACGGAATGACATCTTTAATGGTTGGGTAACACTTGAAATATTTTCTCTAGGTTTTCTTGCACAAAATTACTAGGGCAAAGCAGGTATTTTGTTAGGTTACAATAATTTTTTTCTAAAGTAATCATTTTCCAATTCAGAGAAGTCATGGGAAACTGAGTTCAACTGTGATATTTTCTTTGTTTCATTTCTTTATCTGCCCTCTTTGTCAGCCTGGAAGCAGGAAGCACAGCCCAGGAGAACAACTCCTGGCTGTCATGCTGCAGTCACAGGACAGGGCCGTGCCAGGGTTTAACAATTACTGCTCAGTTTCCACAAATAACCCGTTTTCACTAATTGCAGCCCACGCCAGAGCAGACTGTTCTTTCATCAGCCAGTTTGTGGGATAAAAGCTGGAGTCCCCGTCCCTGAGAGTTGTGCTCCCGAGTGCAAGAAGGTGAGAAGTTCCTTGGTTTCTGTGCACACTCAGAGCAGAAGCTCGGGCTGGCTGTGAAGCGGTGGCAGGTGCTGACCCAGGGGTGTGACTAACACCCTGAAACCCCGGGACAGCTTCAGGGGCAGCAGGGCTGGGCGCGGCAGAGGGCGTGCTTCTTGGAGGGCGAACGTGCCCAACTCCAGCTCCTGGTCCCACATCCACAGCAGCTCACATTTCACCTCCTTCTCCTTTCATCCCCACCCTCCCGCTCATTTTGCCCTCCGGCTGGGCCGGACCCCACCGTCCCGCCGGGCTGCCTCTGCCCTCGCCCCCGCACTCACGCCCGTCGTGTCCGGCAGACGCGGGGCCGCCCTCAGACCTCCCACTGCC